AAAAAAAAAAAAAAAAAACACCCCCTACAAAAAAAAAAAACAAAACAAAACACCCCAGCAATACCATCAAACCTAATATGTCAATAATCCAAGCATGTCATCGAAAAATGTGAAAATAGTAAAATACCCTTAGCCTAAAAAAATCACCCTTCTAATTTTTGAGGTTCCACTAATTTTTGACAACTTAATTTTCACTTTGGTACCCAAAAGTTTGTGCACTTCCCGCATTGATGACATAAAGTATTTTTTTCAACACTTTGATACTCTAAAGTTTCAATCACGTCTACTTTGATACCCGTAAAGTATCAATTACATAGTCTATCCCGAAGTTTCAATTGGAGGAAATAATTTAAACAAATTCTCAGAATTGTGAAAATTAATATTCTACAAGAATAAGATTTTTTTGGTAATCCCTCGAATTGCTATTTCTACTTTTGATTGGAGGGATTAACTTCAAAATAAGTTAAGAATCGGGGGAACTAATAGTAATTCGATGATTGGACAAATGCCAAAATAGACCTAATACTATTATATTAATTCTAATATGCCCTCTTAAAGTTTTTTTAAGAACCCCCTTTAGCTCTTAACATTTTTTAAAAACTCTTTGAAAAGTGTGAACCACAAATTTCATGAGCAAAAGTACACCACCCCATCCAAAAAAAGGAGAAAAATAAAAAATTTATCCACTCATGTGAAAGTTACAGGAAGTGTTGCTGGGAGTTTTCTAAAAAATGTTGAAGAAATTTAAGTTTGATAACATTATGTTACATGGGCAAAATGTGTTGAAATCATATGAAATGTTGAAATCATATGAAAATTTTATTTCTTGCCATGGGAAAAATGTGTTGAAATCATATGAAATTTTTATTTCTTGCCAGCTCATGTGTAGTAGATCACATTAAACAGATTCGATTTTCGATTTCAGAATCTAAAATTTGAATTTAGGTTGATAGTATCACCATGTTGGATAGTGTTAGTAATAGTCAAGCTCATCTTTCTCTCTCATTGTGTGTATGTGTGCATATATAAGAAACTAAGAATACTTTGTACCAAGTACAAATTTGGTGTTTGGTAGTGACGAGTGCATGAGAAGTGACCATGTAACTACCAAGTACCAAAATGCATAATCATATATATATATATATATATATATATATATGTTTTGTGTGTGTGTGTGTGTGTATAGATATACACACACATATGTATGTATACATATATGTTTATATCATATGTGTGTGTGTACACACACACATATGAGGTGACATCTCATTTTGCTAAATGATCTACCAAGAGATAGCCATGTGATGAGACCACCTTGCTAGTCACTTCTCATAACCATCATTCCTATGTATATATGCACATTCTTTAGTATGATACTTTGATATTTATTAAACGTATTCAATGTGTGCCTGACCACAATAAGTAGATGGTTTCTTTCTAGACTGTAAGCTCTTGTTGTTATGATAAAATAGTTGGGTAAAATTTCTTTAATGATTTTTCGGAAAATTTCCAGCTCTGTGATGTTTTTTAGCCAAATTCTAGTTGGCATTTTCTCCTAAGTTTCTACTATTGGTTAGTGATTCTAAACATATTTTATCTATATTTTTATTTGCTTACATTTTGCTAAATATGTTGAAGTTACATTTTAGGATATTGTATTTTTACATGCACATCATCTGATCTGATCTGACACTGATATTTACTACGTATCACTGATATTTCGCAGATATCCGCAATCCAATATGGATTTTGGTCGTGCAATATTTTCTCGGTATTTGATATTTGAAACCTTGGGTATGATCATGTTCGACTTACAATGAAGCAACTAGAATGCAATTACATAAATGTGTGACTAAACAAACTTCTATAATTGCTCTAATATACTAACTACTGTAATACTTTCCTTTTACCATCTTTTATCTGCTTAAATTATTTTTTAGAGAATAATGGGTATCCTTGTATGTGAGGACATTCTCTCATATGACGATGATGTGTCTCAGTCCCAACTAAGTGATTTAGGAGAGGGAGGGAGGGAGGGAGGGTTGGTTCCAGGTATCTTGACATAATACTTGTTAACCTCCTATTTTTGGCATGTTGATTCATGTATGTGTGGTTTCAGGATGTTGTTTACTAAGCCCCTTTTCTTAATGCTGAAAAAAAAATCATAATTACCATAAAGCCCAGTAAATAAGTGATTAGTTTCTTCAACTTCAATCTTCCACCCTTAATCTACACATTTTCATTTTAGACTCCATATTTATTGCTCCTTAATCCCAGAACTGTTTTGTTTGTGTGTAATTCAGATATCTTATCGCAGTTGAATCCTCTTTCTTGTGAACTCACTCTAATGTTTGTGATACTTTATGAGTTGCATGTTTTTCAATATTCAGGTTTGTTTTTAGGACAACATTATCACTGCTTCGCATGCGGGCATGAACAGTGGGTTATGTATGATGACCAGACATGTGATATCCACTTTTCAGTAACTATATATCTTAAACGACGCGTTTTATAATCCAGCTAATAATGCATCCAGATTATTGGGGTTTAGGATGATGCTGTTGTTATGTGTGAAAGGGGCCATTTGCAACCTCAAGTCCTTTTCTATGAGGCCACCTAAGTTAGGTTTTCAAATAATCCTCTCCTCTTAAGGCACGAGAACAGCTTGCATCAGGTTCAAACGACCATTGTGGACGTCCATTAATCAGTTGCCTTGCACCTTCATCATTGATCATTTCATTAACTACGTAAACCACCATAAAAATTGCCAAAAATTGGAGTCACTAATTAATGGGGGTAAAAGTTCGGGTGGGTCCTTGGGGGAGGACATATTTGTTGGACACCACAAAGCATTTGCAAAGTAAACCCCTTGATCGCAGCAAGTATAGTAAGAAAGTAACAGAGATTTTCTCTTAATCTGTTATCTGCACTTTCGTTCGAGCAGCAGCCTACAGGTCTTTTGTTTTTGCCAGGAAGGCGGGTAGCTTCCTGCAGTCTCTTAAGGGGCTTGATTGGCTATATCCGATATTACGAAGACTGAACTGGCAGTTTCTCATTATGAGAGATGATATCTCTGAGTTGTAAGTTGTTTGCATGTACGTGCACAGCTTTTTGCGCCGTGTTGATGAAGATACTTTTGGCTGTGATACTGATTCCTCCATTGAGTTGGTAAACTAGTGAGAAAATGACCATTTTATTATTTGTTGTCAGAAAAGAGAAGGGGATCAATAGAACAATGTTTTTCGCCCCTCTGATTCGTACTTTTGCTTATTTGCATAGGGGTCATGTAACTAGTACTATGATCAGAGTTAAAGTCAATATTGAAATGATGAAAAGCAAGAAGAGTCGGTATTTAATGTTTTGCGCCAAAACATCCGCTCTTGAGTTCTGTGGGTTAGAATCAGTTATCTCTGTTTAACTGCTTGTAAGCAGTGACATTTTGAGTTGTTTTGAGAAATGTATGTAAAATTACATTTTTGCCTATTGAGCCATTTTTACCCTCCAAAATCATTATAATTAGAGGATGTTGACGTGGATCAAAAGTTGACTGACCTTTTACAGGTTACTTTGTTTCTTCTTCTTCTTTTTCTTCCCCCGAAAATGGTAAATATGACTGAGTTTTGCATTGGAAATACTGTTTTGTATTTTCTTTTAGTTGGATAGAATTTGAGAGGTGTTTCTTGTAGCTTTATATCTAATATTTTTCTGGCGTGGTTCCCACCTTTCCCTAAGCTTTTGATGTGCATTCAAGCATGCCCAGAGTAATTGGTTGAAGGAGACCAGACATCCTTTGAAGACGCTCTGCTGTCGCGCCGGAGGTTTGTGAGTTTGGGCGCAATCTTCTAATTGTCAACTTGCTTGCCGAATTGATGAGAATCCATGAATACATCTTTTAAAGCTAACGGTAGCTTAGATGTACCATGTGCATGTGAGGGGGAAAAAAACAACTGTGTTTATCACCTGCACACTAATCATACGGAAGGGAAGCAAGTGCAAAAAAAGGGGGCAAAAAAATGGCAGAACACGAGCACATAGGGACATGATGATTTGAAACAACAGTTATTGTCATAAATATTATTATCCTTAAAAACAAACTCCAAAACTTACTGATTATCCTTTAAAAAAAAACTACAAAACTTGTACGAGGTTCGAACATCCATCCCTGCCCTCTCTTTTACTTTATCGAACTTATCAAGAAAGCAACCTACTAATCTTCAGACTTTATCAAACTTATCAAGAAAACAACCAACTATTCTTCAGAGCTAGGAAAGCCAAAGCTTACATCAGTAGGTTATGTAGACATGATCGCAGAGAGAATTCTCATAACAGAGTTTAATGAATTATAAACAAAGTGGGCAATATGCCTCAAAATTCCAGCAAAAGGTCATAGTACGGCAAAGTGCCAATACACTTGGATTAAAAACAATAAACATCATAGCTGATAATTTTATCTCGTCCCGATATTCATATACACAAGTATTACATTGGGAAAATGTGACTAGAAAGTTCTCAGCCGCCACAATCTTCTTTAGATCTACAGTTTCTACATGTCCTCTTAGCCATTTCGGCTTGTTAGTGGTTTCACTTGAACCCATCGGCAGCAGTGAGATTCTATAGCATAAAGTTGTCATGAGAAAAAAAGGGATCAGAGACATTTTTATTGTATTCCCCCCTGCATACAACCGAGTCATTCCCAAATAACTTCTACAAAAAGTAGGGGCATATGAGAGAAGTTAACATAAAGGACAGTAGGACAGTGCCAATCCAAATAAATGGCCACGTATATACATTCACCAGAGAGGAGTGTTGATCCTGATATGAGCTTCCAGTCCTCGAGGATTCTGACAGCAGGATTTCCTTTGTGCTGTCAACCAGTTGTTACTGTCATTACCGCTGCCGATCAGACCATTCAACAAAATTTGAAGCATCTCTCGACAAAACATGCATTTATTCTTGCTAAGCAACAAGGTCCCTCAATCTCTTACCCAGAAAGGCTTGATACTGTAACAAATTTGGATTTTCCCCTCAACTCATCTTGGAAGATTTCTTCCCTCAACCATTTCTTAACAATGCTTTCTGCTTGCCAGCATATTCGAGAACAGCACCTAATAATTTCAGATTATACTCTAGTCGTTGAAGTCTTCATAGGATGATCCACCAGAAGAATCACTTTGGAACGGGGACTCCCTCGGTGATGATGGATGTGACTCCTGTTCTTGTAATGCAGTCCCTGAAGAAAAAGAATAAAAATTATGCAACATTAAATAGCAAACAAATGCTGAGAGAGAACAAGCAGATTTGCTACTAATATAATCATCTACCCTTGGTGATATACAACACGTACTTGGTACATATTTTAACAAGAATGGTTGCCGATTCTAGCAAAAACAACTACGACCAGACAAAGCATATACTAAACCAAAGGGTAAATCACCTCATTTATTAAATGCAAAGAAAGGGTATAAGAATGGTACTAAGGCTTGGACCAATCATAAAGCAAGCAGGTCCCGAGGTTAAGATCGTTTTATGACCTTTTCCAAAAAAAAAGCTCGAATAATAGTTCGTTTTATTGCACCCGGAGTTCTTGAGCTGCTCTGGTGGTAATTGCGGGGCGCGTAGTGGAGGGCGCGCCGCCCGTGGCCCGCGCCTATCCTCCAGGCCCATTCTAAAACAGTCTTTAAGGAAAAACCCTCGGCTCTCCTGACTACATCAAAACTAAACCCCACGCAGGTCCAGCAAAGGAAAAATCCTCTAAGATAAAGACTGGTTGACATGCAAGGGGATCAAGCTATACACCCATGCATAAGAATTCATATAGAAGTTAACTCAAGGGTGTGAAAGTGAAATATTGTGATCAAAAGAAGTCACCTGAAGTCTTCGGTGCTCTCGAGCGGAACTTCTTTGTGTGCCTCCGTATGAGCTTTTTGGCTTTTGTTATTGTAAGTTGCCTGGCAAATGGTGAATATTCAGTATCACTCTCACTCCACTCACCTTGAAATTCACTGTCTGCCTCTCCTCTCATTGTTCGCAAAACAAATGCCTTAGCTTTGCGGCGCTGAGAATTGAACAGTCCTTTTACTGATGTAACGAATCCATCACCAGCTCCATCTGTTGGACGCTTGGCAAATGTTAAAGGGAATTGATCAGATTTCCCAGGCAGACCACCATCACTATCACTGAGATTGAGGTCAGGTACGATGTCTCCATGTGGCTCCCTCAGACTTTGGGATTTATCTTTGAACTTTTTCCCCTGAAGATTAAGCAATGGGTCAATTAGATTTTCATTATTACATTGACATTCAATGGAGAATAAATTGCAACCACAGAAACAACATAAATACATTGTAACGAGTAACTGCTACAAAAATTGACCTAATTTCTTTTGTATCATGAGCTTGCAATACTTCTGTCACAGGTTGCTGTAACTGCATCAAAAACTCTAAAGTTACGGTGAGGGCTAAGGGTTATAATTTTACATTCTAACATGCTCCTGTGAGTTGAGTGTTTTTTTCATGGGCAGAAAGCTGAACTCATGATGGTATCTTTGTTTCTTAATCTGTTTTGAATTTGTGGCTGGTGAGCATTGAACACGGGTTGCTCTGATACCATGTCATGATACTATGTCAAAAGACCCTTTCACTACACCAAAACTCCAAAGTGGCAAGGCTTGACGGTTATAATTTCATACAGTACAATTTTTAGGACAGAACTAGCAATCAAAATCTGAACTGCCTCCCCTGATTAAGGCTTTTATCAGCTGGTCTCCTAGATATTAAACTGAAAATTCAAAATTATCAGGAGAAGAAAAAAATTAGAAGAGCCTGATCATAAAATCAAGATATACCGAAACACCCCACTGGATATAACTGGCACCAGGATGAGGCTTTGTTATGAGATGCCACAGGTTTGAATGCAGACCATGATCATTGTTGAGAGGAAGAAAGGGGGAAAAACATATTTACTTAAAACACAGTGCATACCAGATACATTTCATATACCACAAAGGAATTACTTATGAAACATCTGAACAGATAACGGCATCGCACATCTTAACTTCTGTCTTCGACAGGAAATAATAATGTAAACAGTTTAAAGTTGCAATAGTTAGTAAAATATGGCTGGGTATTTGTAGGTGCATCCTACTTGCCTGCATTCCTGTTACGGACTTTAGAACTCCCCATATTATATGTTTTTTAACTCGTGAAAATAGCCTCCGCCAGGTGCCTATGAAATCATCACGATGAAATGAATCCATCAGCAGCCTTAAGTCACTGACTGCGAACCTTGAACCCTCGTAAGTAACCAGCAACTCGACCTATGATGTTTGCGTAAGTAATGATCAGTATGCATATTTGGAAAAGTTACATTATCCAGATACATGAGATATAATGTTAAAGAAAAACCTGGCTGATTTTTATATTATGGAATTCCATCAGCTTCCTAGACTTCACTCTTTTCTCATCCTGAGCCTTCCCAACTTTCTTTTCTTCGTGAGATAAACGACCTGGTCTGACTGGCTTGGAATCTTTCGTTCTACCTTTAGATGTCTCCTCATTGGCTGACTGCTGATTTTCTGAAGCAGAACTTAGAGGGCCACTTTTTGCAGCAAAGCTTTGTAAAACAAGTTCATTAGCCACCGACTCTGCTACAGTGTCTTCCCACGATCTGTCAAATGATGATGTCCGTCGAAGCTCTGGATTGGAACCAGATATACTATTTCCTTTCATAGGTGGTACTTTTGACACCTGCATGAAGAATCCACCACTTCAGGAAGAGGTATTTAACAAATTTAGTTCAGACGAATTGGCTGTGATTAACAAATCTCAGAGTATTTGCATAGTGCCATCTTGTTAGACTACTTCGAATGTGCATGCATGGTTATCCTTGCAAATAACTTCATCAGTTGATGAGTTACTGATCTATGAAGCTTCCATTGTTATGATTTCAAAGTTTTATGCTTTCATGTTTCTCTAATCATTCAAAATTCATTTCAGAATTCTAGTCCCTTAACGCATACCAAATTTCAAGTTTTCAGTAAAACTCACATGAGAAGAGTCAGCATGACTGGAAGTACTAGTTGTCAAGGAGGTAGTACAACTAGCACCTGCTTTCCTAGGGACCTCAGATTCTCTAGTGGGTTGGCTACTTGATGCAGTTGTATCAGGGCCCGATAAGCTTTTCCTTACCCGTCTTGCACCAGCACTGGTTGAAACTTTCCATACCTCCTAATTATGTATTTAGGAAGAGAAATGAACAAAAAGTTAGGAGGGAAGACACTAAACATACCCCTAAAAAACACCAAAAGCATTAAAACTAACCTGCCGTCGCTGTGAATCTTGTTCTTCTTCTGGGAAGAAGTATTCCCACATCATCCTATACATTGTTTCAGCCAAATGTATCTTCAGTGGATATATATCTACCTGTCATTGTCAATTAATAGTGATTTTCATGAAGCAGAAACACGCCAATCAAATATCTATTGAGAAGTCGTCCGCAGTATTTATATAGCATGTAAGTGATTGTCCAGTTCGAAGGTAATAACAAGACCTTGAAATTTCTAGTTCAAACAAAAATAAAAAATAAAAAAATTAAAATTAAAAATAAAAGTCCAGATTTCTCTGTTTGATGTCAGTCAATCTGGCCTAAGGTGTAAGCTCAAGTCCAGAACAAAATTTAGTTCCGATTCTTATTTGTTAAATTTCTCAAAAATTTTAAAATTTTGTTGCCTTATCATTACAGAGGCATGTATATTTAGAACAAGATTACTAATTATTATTTGTGGCTTAGTTTCTAAGAGGTTAACTAAGGGTCTGATCCTATGGCCTTTATAATAAAAAGGATTCATGCTTCCTCATATAGAAAAATTGAATTTTATACAATACCTTGTGATTTCCCTTCATATTACTTAGTCTTTTTTTTTGCATGCACGCGTAAATGTGAAGCGCATTTGATGTGAAATTCTAATCAGAGAGTAAAAATTCTTTTATCTATAAATTCTCTTGCTCTTCTTTCGCCTTTCTTTTCAAATTCTTCTGTTCTTTGGTTTGCTTTAAACCGTAAACCTAAATACCTCAAAACCTTTTCCAAAATTGTCCCCTGTTATCAGGTTGTGGACAAGGAAGACTGACCAATACTTGATTTACTTGCATCCGTCATGATTTCCAACGAATCAACTCATTACAATAGGGATATTATTCCCATCTAAGTGTCAACATTAGATTATACGTAGAATATGCATTTTTTTCGGAAGATATTTTGCTTCAATGTTCACAAGATGTAAAAGAAGTAACACAGATATTTTTTTCAATCAAAATTTAAATAATGAAATTGACAAAATGATGAGACAATTTTCTATATGCAAGAACTATTGATTTGGTACTGAATCATTTGGCTATATCATCGCTTGAGCCATATTAAAAGTCATATTGCTGGCTGTTTTGGAAATAACTTTGCAGGATATTTGGGTTCATATGGAAGAGATTTTGAGGATCTATAGATGAGGGGTAGACAGAGAGAACCTCATCACAGAATGTAACAGTAATTGGTTACAGCAGCATGCAAACAGTAAGTTTTCTTCAAAGGATAAACTTATGATTTTATCTTGATGAACGGATATGAGAGATCATTTTAGTTTTCTCTAATAGGTTTAAACCTAGAAAGGTCAAGTCTGTAAAAAGGGCAGCTCAGTTAAAACTGTAATCATCACAATATGTTTGGAAATTTTGAGATAAGCCATGACCACAATTTTAACTGACATAGCCTTTGTATAGGTAGTAGACCTACACAGACACCAATTAAAAAAGGTGCAGATCTCCAATCATTTTGACACGTCTCTCCGGTCATCAATTGAAGTAAATATGTTTTGAGCAACTCACATCTGCTTTCAAGTTTCTATTCCAATTTTCAGGTCTTCAACTTCCTGATTCTAAACAATCTACTTCCATCATGATGCCATAAAACGATACAAACATAAATGAAGGTTTAATTGTGAATAAACCCCCTGTAGTATCACCTAAGTGTGAATAGGCCCACTGTAGTTCTATTTCTAGCAAATAGACCCCCAGTGGTATTAGTCCAGGTGCGAGCACTCCCCTTAGTGAAATTTTTTGACTCTTTTGAAAGTAAAAAAGAATTAGCAATTGGGGGTCTATCCTCACTAATAGAACTATAGGGTGCCTACCTGCCTCATCAAAAAACTTTTTGATGATTTTAAGAGTAAAAAAAGATTTACTCAGGGTTCCATTCACAAAAATAGAATTACATGAGGTCAATTCGAATTGGGTAATACTGCAGGGGGTCTGTTTGCAATTAACCCTGAATCAGAAGATAGACCCTAAACTCAGCCCTAACAATTCTGAAACTACTGTAGGATGACTGAAATTATCGTACATGCTAACATTACTAATGACATGCATAATTGAGGTACAGACATACACGATAAAGCAATGACTCTGGAACAGTTATACAATTATATACACCGTCAAGAACTCAGAACTATTCGATGTACCAAAGCTATCTTTTGAACATATTTCCAACCTGACTTTCAGTGTGTATACACACACACATAAATACACGTGGATACGTGCATATAGATATATGCATGTATATGCATATACACATACGTACATAAATATATACACACATACATACATAGAAATACATGCATCTAGATATATGTATCGTATACATATATACACACGCATGTTTGTATGTATGTGTGTATATGTACGTACGCATGCATGCATGTATGTAAAAACCAAAATGGAAAAAAATCTGTTGAAGTGACCTGGAAAAGTTCCAGCAGTGAATTTCCATCCTTAGGAGCTCCCTGTTTTGCGTTAACACGAAGCATAACATTTCTGCACTCGAATAATGAAGTTCTCCAGTAAGAGATTTTTTTTTCCTTTTGAACAAAACATATAAGACTTTTATGGAGAAGAAAAGCAAAATATCTGCATATTAACACATGAAATGTGAAGAGAGAAAAATAACAGAGAGAAAAAAAAGAAAGATGTGATGACCGAAACAAGCAAAATCAACAAGGTGATAACACAAATTCCATAATCTTGAAGAAAAGGTAACAATATATGTCTGAATATGCTTGGTTTTGATTTTCACATGGTTATTGGACTTCCCAAGGTCTATAAACAACAACATAACTGCTACAACCTACACGGACTGCAAAAACAATCCAAAAGTTTATCAAATATGAGCATTGGTTCCTAGAGGCACACGACACACACATTTGATTTTGTTGTATCCTGAGAATTGCCAAGTATAATAAGCCCTTAAAAGTTGACCACGTCATATTAATGGGCTGAGTCCTATAATCTAAAAGCCTAACCCGGGTGTGAGCATTGTTGATCTCTCTAACAATCCGAGTCCGAGACGAAAGACGTCTTCAAGCCATGATCTATTAAAGGAACCGAGTCCAAGACCAAAGGCGTCCTTAGTTCGAACTTCACTAGTGAATATCTTGAACGACGGAACGACCTATCAGCCTCACAACGTCATTCGCATTTAATGCATAGCTAGTTGGCGCCCATACTTTGTTACCCAGTCACCATCACATTTAATGCAGGACTAGCATCATTATGACTTCTTGAGCCAAAGTCATAATGACCCCTTGGACAACGTCATCGCTTGCTCCATTCTGTCACTATTGCATTCACTATTTTAAAAAGCCTCCGTCTAGGCGGTACCTAGGCCCGCCTAACTAGCACCTAGCACCTAGACGACACCTAGACTGGCCACCTAGATTTTGGCAGTGTTTAGGGGAGCATTATCTACTTACATGGACTGAACACTTTAGCTTTTGATCATGATTTTCTGTGTTGCGGTCTCTATGTCCTCTAACCTCTTTCAAACTCCTTTAACCTCTAAAATATGAACACCTCTACTTCCTTCTCCAACCTTTAGCAAAACCTCCTCGACCACCACTTGAAGAAAAAAAATCCACCTAGACACCAGTCTGACACCTAAGCTTTCTATAATATTAATATTTACTATCAAATATGGTAATTAAAAAATAAAAATAGAAAACCTCCTAGGCTATAGGCGTCGGGTCCAATGACTAAGCATCCTAGCGCTTTCTATAATCTTATTAATTATTTTGACTATTTAGTATTTAAGTATGTATGGTTTATTGTGGATCTAAGATTGATATCTTTTTTGGGCAAATTTATATGAATTTAACATATTTTTCTTAATTATTATAATTAAATAATTTAAAAAAATAGCCAAACACCTAGGTGTCGCCTAGGCGTATGCCTAGGCGTCTAGGCGCTAACTCAAACGCCTAATCCGCCTAACATCTTCTGTAACATTAATCACATTAAATATCAATATCGCATTAAATGCAAAGATGACTCCTTCTACATGCCTCCAAATGCGTAAAGTGCACTCTAAATGATCGATTGCACAGACCCGGTCGAATTACCAACGTGCCCCTATGAATTATCTATAAATAGTGGATAGTCCCACTACACCAAAGTACTCTGGTTAAAACTCTGAAACTAGCTTGCTTAATCAGTCACTAACTTGAACATCGGAGGGCACGCCCGAAAGAACCTCTCTCGCCCTCTAACAAGTGTTAGATATGCAGGGATCCAATTCCTCCTGATTAATCAACCATCATAAAACATAAGGGACCCTTAACTCCTCCAAATATCCACCCACTCATACAATTAACTTTCCGAACTAAACAGATTATGTACTAAAAAGTAACATATAGATCTAATCTAGCATCTATATCAATCTATACTATACTAGCAAAATACCTGCCAATGGCTGCAAGATTGCGACGCTTCGCACTCAAGTGGACATGTAATTTTCATCTTCCCTGATATTAATTATTGTATTCATTTTTCATATGCCTTCTTCTTCTCTATGTTCCTACATTTAAAATGAATTTGAAAACTTCTATTTTTCTTGACATCAATGATTCAGCAATAATTGTAATTATGAGTGCAACAACATGGTAGTTGTAAGATTGTGCATTACATATGGGTTAACACTAGTAGACTGCTAAATTATAAAACAAGGCTGAAACATTTGATGGTGCTGCTGCACAAGAATAAAACAGTAAATCTAAGACCAATTCCTTTTGTCTCTCAAGGCTCAAGCTTTCTTTATTTATAGTTTGGTCCAATTTTGTCAAGTGACCTGTTAATTAAAATAATAACATTCATACACCATTTTTAATTGTTTCAATAAAAATCATGGATTAGTCTATGCTTGTTGAGAAGCGTGTTCCTTATGACTATATCCTAAGCTAGGGGAGTTAAGGGGAAGAAGATCATAATACTCCTACCTCAGAAAATTAATTTCACACGTCCAAACTTATCCTCATCTAATCCTCAATTCTGTCTATAAGTTGACAGATGTGTTCATTTATGATTCCATCTTCACTCTTACAGGTCATTGCTCAATTCACAGATGCATCATTTCTCATCCCATCTTCTCTTTCTCTTTTACAGGCCATATCTTCTGTTCGCATATATATACACACAGAGAGCGAAAGAGAGAAAAATGGGTATGCTTGGTACCAAGCACAAAAAATTGTGCTTGGTACCAAGCACAAAAAATTGTGCTTGGTAGTGAGGTGGCATAATCCCCTCCACTCATTCAAATGGTTGCATATCCCCATGCACTCCTCAACCAATGTGAATGTGGTACCCCATTTGAATGAGTGGATGAGATTGTGCCACCTCACTACCAAGCACAAAATTTATGCTTGGTACCAAGCATACCCATATTTCCTCATATATATATATATTATATATATATATATATATATATATATATATATATCATATATATATAATGAGATAGATAATATCCCATGATCTGCCAATACTTCAGGTGGAAGGATAAAAATCTTATGTAAATAATGAAAAGCCAAGTTAGAAAGATAAACTACTATTTATTTAAAATAAAGATTATCTAACTCTAAAGTTATTAGAGGCATGGTCTTACTTTAATTATGCATTTCAAATACCTAACAAATGAAAATTTTCATCACTGTTATAACATATAAGTTTTCTTTCATGCAAGAAGGCACAATGTTAGAATATAGGTCATCATGTTAAAGAACACTTATAAGGAAGAAATTCAGTTGCAGACTAGCTATAGAAAAATCATCTACAATACGAGTCACAAAGTTAAGTACGGGAGAAAGATTAAGGATACAATCATACTTTCCCCATTCAGGAGGTGCATTCCAGGCAGATAATAGCATATCAGACTTTGAGTTTGGCAGGCAGTTTCTCACAACAAATGATTTTGTAGTGAACAGACAAACACCAATATCTTTGTAATCACGGTCAAAATCGAAGATCTGTTGACAGATGTACAATAAAAACACCTCAAAGTTAAGAAGCAAAACATAAATCGAACACATGGATCAAGTTAGGAAGTAAATCACAATGAGTACTAAATTTAGAAGCAAAAAAATCCAACATGTGGAGGACAATGTGTGACGTAAGCTTTTGGTATGACATTCCTTGAGCATACATAGTATTACTGCTTTCTAGAAAAAAGAAAAAGATAAAAGAACTATATACAATTTCTGTAAAGTTAAGCTTGAGAGCTATGTTTAAGTAGTGGAATCAATTTATTTACTGAAAAAAAACATTTTCTCAAGTTAACTAAATTTCTCTACAAAATAGGACATTTTTAAAGTCAAATACAAACTAATATACTACTTACGAACAATTTTGATTGGTGCATTAGGACTGGCTCCAAAGCCTAGCGATATGTAAGGGTAGCGTTTTCATTTATGGACCTCGATAACCGTTATAAGCTTGAAATCTGCGCTTGGACTTGGGACTAATTTTCATGGATTTCAGATGAATAAGACATGGGGGTCAGACACAATGTTGTCTAAAAATAGTGACGAAAAAAAGATTACACTTCATTCTCATGAATATACAGTTCTTGTACAAATATTTTAGTGCGTTATTACTTATATTACAATACCCTAATTCAGTTAATAAAGAACAATTAGTTTTTATCCATAGGGACATAACACACTTCATCCTATAAGTATGATTTTTAGTGCAGCACAAGAGCAATGTTAAAATATCCGAATCTCAGCTACATCAAAAACTTATTCTTGAATCAACTAAATTTCTCAACAAAATAAAGCATTTGCAAAGTCAAATACAAGCCAATATACTGCTTATAAACGGTACTTCTGTGTTAGGATTGGTTCTCAAGCGCAACCAGTTTTCAGTTATGGATCTTGATAGCCATTATAAACTTAAAATCAAAGTTTGGACTTAAGATTTATCGTCACAAGTGTTGCACATCGATCCAGACATGCGGTGTCATGACTGTATATTTATTTCTCTGGAAATACATAATTTATGAAAATATATCTCCAACGGGTTATTACTTATATACAAGAAACTAAGTTAAAAATTTTAAGGAACAGGTCGCTTCTATATGTGGGGGCTTAATAGTCCTAGAAATGTGTTTTTAAGTATACACTCTATCACAGATATGCATCTTGTGTCCAGCTGTATCCAATGTGCCAATGTTTAAATGAAGAAAGTGCCGTACAAATGGTTAGCAATAAGATTTAGTTCTAATTCATTAACATTTAATACATCTAGGTTGTTTTCCATCTGCCAATCTGTAGGAGCACCTTCATCATATTTTAACCCAGTGATAAAATACTAATACCTTAATAATCTGAAACTGAATGTTCCACTTTCTAAATGGGCTAATTACAGATAATACTCTTGGACATGAAACTGGATGCATAAATATTTACAACTAACAATCAGCTCGATTAAAAGAGAAGTAAACAGGTAAAGAGTGCAGTCTTATCAAAGACCCTGTAACCTATACATAACAGCTAACCCCACTATTTAGAATCACTCACTGAAAACTGGAAACACCACTAATATAACAAAATCAGCCAATTCTTCACACAAAAGTATCCTGAGGATAATGTTTTAGAGAAATCTCCTGCGTAAGTTAATTTAAGAACTTGGTTCAGTCTAGTATCAAAACCAGATTCAAGACAAGGAAATGCATATTACATGAAACTTTCATAAAGGGTTTCTACTTTATAAATGACCTAGTCACTTCAAAGTAAACAAAACACAGAATGTTAATCATCGTATACGACAAATGGCAGATTGTAGACTGGGTTTTTCTACATCCGCATTGGGGTTAGGGCTGTATTGTCATTAAGTGTAAACTTCTAGACACCCATAAATTTGGTTAGGCTCTGGTTTACTAAGTTACAAAGCACATTGTCCATTAAATTCTATAAATCTTTGAAATGGTCTCATCCTAACACGATCACGTAAAATATTGATGCCAGATCATAGTACATAAGCAATATTCAGATATATAAAACTAATCATATATGAAACTGAAGTTCGTAGAAAACTAAGTTCCATGATGATATTAAATCTTTTTCTCTCGGATTGAACAAGTTGCAAAAGGTAGCACATTTAAGATTTTTCTTATTAAGATTTAAAACAGGAAAACTGTTCAGTAGAAGTTGTTCATCGTTGCACGACTCATGGAGCTGAGGGTCACTACGAATTACCTGCACAATCATCATGTAAGGGACATAAGTAAATCCCAGGAGAAGCTAACATCTATTCAATGTCAAATCAAGGTGAGTAACCATGAGCAATGAAAGGGCTTGCATGTTAGGTTAACTGTCATTTACGGACAGCTGTTAATGCTTGATATCTCATGAAAACTCTTATCATAAACTTAGAACCATGATATAGTTAAGAATTGAATATTAAGTACAGACAAACATATTTCTTTTCCCCAACATAATATTTTTAGCTCACAGTCAATTTAAGATACAATATGGCATGGTGACCTAACTTCAAGAGCTTCTACATTTTAGAGCTTTCAAAACTCATAATTAGGAAGTTATGATATATATTATTTACCTCCAAATATTTCCATGCCAGCCATCTTCATGCTGGATGCCTTTTTGTTCTAGAAGGTTCCCGCTGCGTGTATGAGTATATATATATGCATGTCTGTGACTTTTCTTTAGGGTTTGCATTGGTTAATGTACAGTAGATAGCCACAATCCATCAGAAAACTTTTGGTTAAATGGCTATCTCCCATGTGTAAATTATCTAATTTCAACTCTAAATCATCAATAAAGTTAAAGATAAGAGCTGTAAAATACACAGAGGACAAAATGTTTATTGTATAAATCCTTATTTATCTACATTAACGTTAAAAAATTTACTATTTACTTCAGTGCTGACAAAATCATTTAGAAAACATATCATAAAAAAATATTATATGTTATCAACCTAACTCCTTTGTTAATACTATATTTATGACTCACCATGTCGTTTATCTCAGTTTCAGCAAAGGATTTACCATCTGCAAGCATACTCCATACTATCTTACTGATTCTCATTGAAATCCTCATAGCATAGGAAGGGCTTTTGTTCTTTTCTTTCTCCATCAAGCGTAATTGTGCGGCTTTCTGCAGAGCCAATCTCAGAGCGAAAGATGCTGCTTTTCGAGAGGTTTGTATTCTTCCCAGCTCTTTCTTCAGCCTATTTACCTGTATATATTTGTAACAAGTAAATACTTTGAAGTAGGAATGTAAAATTGCCAACAACTTTTTATCTTGAAAGAAATAAAGTGTCACATAGAAGGAAAAAGACCATCCAATTGTTCTCTATATAATGTGAAACAAAGACAAATCATTTCATATTGTTTTCTGATCTTGAAGGATGTTTAGCATGAACTTGTCAGCAAGTTGGTAGAAATGATAGATCAGGATCAATTTATAAACTCAATGCAAATTGCAATGCTAGATACATAAAGATATTTTTTGGAAAATGCGATTACAGTTTCAACCCCACAACAATGGCGGTGAAATTTCTAATGAAGAAAAATACAGTCACCACACATGAAGATAAACACCAAGCAAATCCCAATGACTATATTAGAAAAAGTTAGTATCCTACCAGTATTGATTTTCCACCAGTTATCACCCATGATTCTGCATCATTTTCTAAACCCACACTCTCAGTAGGAATATCATTACTAGCTGATAGTGTCCTTATATCATCAAGGATTAATTTTCTTTCCCTTTCTCTTTCTTCAATGCTGATTCTTGCAAGTTCTACCTCTTCAACACCATCAGGTACCACCTCATCAGCCTCCTCTTCAACATATTCATCATCGTCAGTAGTACAAGAAAGGCTACTTTTACGAGGCCTGCAAAAATGGAATTTGGATATAAACAGATAGTATTAGTAACTATAGTATCAATGTACCAAAAACTACATTATCAGCGACATCTATGAAAGGCAGCTTCAGAGTTCTGCCTATGATCACAAAGGCTCAAGTTGACATGTTGTTGCATGGGCAAAAGTTTTCATCTAACAAATTAAAGGACCAGAGAACCGAAGGTTTTCGTTTTAACCCAAAGACATACCCATAATTTATTGATTTTGAGCACACATAAGAGAAAATAAATTGTGAATCTCACAGATACTATGAAATAGTTAATACTAAAAAGAGCCCAGGTTAATTGTGAATCTGTGATGTCAAGATTCAGAACTTACAGTCATGCAAACATTAACATCGGATATTTAAACCTTCAAAATTTTCATGACCCAAATGGAATGATAACAACAGTTTCCCAGAAAAAACAACCGGTAATAGCCAATAAATCTGAAGGTGGGATAAAATATAAGATTTTTCTTATTTCAATGTTATGATTCTTTGATTTTTCTTTTTTTCCCCAAGTTGAATAAGATTGTTATCTATGATTCAATTTCTAGAGAGAATAAAGTGTACGTGAGAATCAGGGTATTAAGGATAAAATCTCAATTGAGGCAATAAGCACATGCACACAAGTTCAGTGTGCATGTGTTTATAAAGATGAAAATAATAGTATGCTCCACTTCAAGGCTAGGTTTATGCTCAGGTATCTGACCATTTCATAATGGAGTGGTGTCAGATCGACCGTACTTCCTACTCCTAGCTGAATAAAAGTATAGTATGAAAAAAAGATTTTCCATGTAAAATTTTTGAAATGTCTTCAGGAAGTATCCATATTATATGAATACTCACAGGTAAGACTTCAATGTCATAAACTGAAACAAGAGTCACAGTGGTTACCAGAAAGAATATAAGGATATTGTATTCTAACAAAAACATATTAGGGTTTGTATTTGAAATGTGCACAGTTGGCAAAGTCAGATGTTAACAAAAACATATTAGGGTTTGTATTTTGGAATGGTCAGATACCCAAGCAATTTATCTCTCGCTTTGCCATTTATTAAAATCTACAAAGGTTAAATGAAGAAGATGTGGTGGCTACCAAGAAGAATATATTATAACATATACCTGATACGGGTATAAAATCTATAAGGGTTAAATGAAGAAGATATGGTGGCTACCAAAAAGAATAAATTGTAACATATACCTGATACAAGTATAAATCATAGTTTCGTTCATACACACAAGATATACATGTATTAAAAGGAACGAGAAATCCCTCCTATTTAACTGTTGGACCATATTTGAAACAGGCTGAGGGCTGAAATTGGTTGCAAGCTTCCTACTGACTGCAAGCATCGCGAAAAAATAGGCAAGCTAGGAACTAACTAATATGTACATGATAAATGACGACATGAAATTTGATGGTCTTCCATTATCTTTTCCTTAGTTATTGCAAATCTTCCAAGTCCTATCTTTCCTGTTTCTTACTGCTGCAAATGATAACTCACACCGCAAAAGACTCGGTCCAATCAAAGTTTCTCCTCATCCTTCTCCCAAGATTCAGAACCAGGCATTGCTGCTGATAGGGATCATAAACATGATAGGAATCGTAAAGGAATTCAATTCGTCTCTTCAAATATTTATCAGTTTTTAGGTTTCTTTCCACCTAGTAAGAGATAAAGCGAACATGTTTGATATTTTGATTTAACTTCAATTTAAACTACCAGCAGAATTCAGTTTACATGAAAGAACTGCAGGACGAAGAAAAATTGGAAGGATTGCTTTTATGGTTTATCGTTGAACTTTATTTTACATTTCTCGAACACCTTTGACATTTTTTTGATAGTTACTAGTTGAATATCGGAAACATTTCAAAGATTAAGCTGAAAATAATCCAAATATTTAAATGTTAGTACTTCAGAAACACTACTTGGTTTGGAGGAAATTTTCTTGAAGTTGGAGATCGACAAGCCTTTTTATTAATGCAAGTTGGATTAAATAAAAAAAAGGTAAGGATGAACAAGAATAATAGATTCCATAAAATAAGGGTTATATAAAACGGAATAGAGGAAACATGACCAAAAGGAAAGAGGTAACATGAGAATATAATCTGACAGGAAGGTCTGAATAAACTACATAAATATAGGGCAAAAAATTATGCAAATATTGATTCTGTCCTTGTATTTCTTGCACTCAATCCAAGTGCTCAAATACAAATTTGATAGCTATAAATGGCGACTCATGTGAATGCACATAGACAAGATACCAAACAGATGTATGCAAATACACAAATTCATGCATAAATAGTTAGACACGAGTATGAAGTATACACACAAACACACACATAGAGAGAGAGTGTGTGCGCGCGCGCACGTGCAAGATACTGCAGGAAGGTCTGAATAAACTACATAAATGAAGGGAAAAAGATTTATTCAATGTCAATTTGCCTTGTGGTTCTTGCACTCAATCCAAGTGCTGAAGCACTCCATCCAGGTGCTCAAACAAAGATCTGATAGCTACAAAAGGTGACTCATGTGAACGCACATAGGACAAAATAACAAAGAAATTCATGCATTAATAGTTAGACATGAATATGAAGTATACACGCACATACGCAGTGTGTAAGTTACTGCAGGATGTGTCTAGGAGGCCTTACTTGGGAAGTCTGGCGAAAAGAAGATTGCTTAATACATCCAGCATGACCTGAAATTGGCGTGACGTCATTGTTGCGGTAATATTGGGAGAGTTGAACTTTAGCTCTTTTAGAGGCTTCACCTAATAAGCAAACAAAACCATTACTCTCAAATACATTATGCAGCAGAAATACATTTAGTAAATGGCACATGGTTTAAGCTGTGCTTGTGGATAAAGTTTCAGATGGCCAATCTACCTTTAGTTCCGGTGTACCACCTTTGTACCTCGTGTAGCGGAAGTACATTTGACAGGGCATAAACACTCTCTCAAGTAAAGCACCTGTACGTTTTACTTTAGGCGAGCTCCTAAGAATTTTGGGTAACCACTGAAGTCCAGCACCTGGGTCAACATCAGTTGGTGCTACATGAGCTTGAACATGCTCCAACATAACAGAAAGCTCTACCCTTTTCCATGTCATTTCTGGTTCAGTTTCAGGAACAGAGACACCGCTGGTACCAAGAGCTTGCTTGATCATCTCAGAACCAACATGAAGAACTGAATGAAAGGAACGAGCCAAAACACGGCCGCTAGCAGCTGCAAGCAGAAACCTACCCTGGTATGTTAAAAATAATTTACTGTAAGTAAATGATGATAAATGTAGAACAATATACTGACAATATGTGTTATGCAAAATTCTGCAAAGGCTACACCACATAACAGTAATTGTTCAAACCCAATCAAATGTGTAGCTTAAAAGCTAACAACAATCATTTCCAGATTATGAAAAGAGTAGCAAAATATGCATCATGATTATCCGTACACTGCTTAAAACATTTCCCTGTTAGTAAAGTAAATCTGAACTACACATTTATTATCATGCACTTTAAATAAGCATCGTGAGCTTTGAAGTTGCAGAAATGTAAAGAGGTAGCTGAAACCGACGAAGTGTTGACATGATAACCTCGGAATCCATGAAGGCGTGTTCTTCTAATCCTTGAAGAACGATCTCCGAACCCACAAAGAAATTTAAATCCACGAAGAAAATATTATAAGAAAATTTTTTATTTATAAAAAAAATGATATCCATAGGGTTACAATTCTTCTTAAATAGAAAAACAACATGAAAACATCCAGATCTTGTTGAAATTCTCGGACCTTGGCTCTAGTAATATCGGCTTCGCCTGCCGTCAGATTGGAGAAACTGAGCTTTGTTGACAGTTAACACAATGCAGAAGTGATAACCTTGAAATTCGCTAAGGGGTTTTCTTTGCATCCTTGAAGAACAGTCCAAATCCATGAAGAAAATATTATAAGAGGAATTTTATTGATAAAAAAGTGATCTATCCATAGGATTTACAATTCTTTTTCTTAAATAGAAAAACAAAGTCTGCATCTATTTACGAATAGAATTCCTAAAAGATAGAAATTCTTCAAAACTATTTAAAAGACTCCCTATAACAAAATGAAAAAGTCAGTCCAAACCGAATCAAAATTGAATTTGTTTCCTACCCTAAATAGACTCCAACTTTATTACTAAAAATAAACAAAAAACTAATTATTTTCGGATTTCCCAAAAAAAAGAGCATCACCGATGGACTTTTAGAAATGTGCCAATCTGGAGGGCTCTGTCTCATCGAGATAGGAGATTTTCATATATAATATATTAGATTATGCTTTTTGGATTAGGAGATATTGCCTTTTTCTTCATAGTCAAGTCAACGATGCATTTATATCCTTGTTTGGCTCGTGACAATTACATTGGTTTTCATATGTTTGTTTCTTCTTCAAAGATACTACACTGGATCTGAAACATGACTGATAGGGACATGCTTAACTTACTAATGAGTGTTGATAACATCCTCACAGATTGAACATGGTTTCCTGTTGGACATTTACAACACTAGTTGACAAGGGATCCGGCTTAAAATTTTGTTTACAATATTCAAGCTTCTGTACGAGAACCATTCACGCCATAACATCAAGACTTTCACATCAAACAATTCTGGATTGTAGCTCCTGATTATTAAATTGGAAGCAATTTCGTTTTAGCAATGATAGAAGATAAATTGTTTTCATATTAAGATTAATATACTCAGTGAAATTTTATTATCTATAAGGTTGTCACATGCATGGATGCAGTCTAAGGTATGTGTTATTGTTCAACTTTTCTTGAGGATTTCATGCTGCTTTAACAAATTGTTAAGGTTGGCACTCAAATCTAAAAGATATTGGATCTTATGTCATGAAAACTACATAATGTTAATGGTTTAATGGCACAAGGAATAACTGAATTTGATCAAATGTAAGGGGCTGTTTGTTTGCATAAGGGGGAAGGGGAAAGCCTGCCAAAACTAACACTTTTGGCAGGCTTTCAACCCATTTCCCCCTCTAAAAGAGGCAACCAAACGCGCCCTAAACTGTGTGAAAAGAATAATATGGTTGAAGCAATAAGAACAACATGAGGTGTCAGAAAAGTTGTGAGTACAGCTCAAGACATAGTGCAGTCCCATTACTAAACATTTACTCTTCCCACATACATGGTTTATTTTACACCTCATGTAGTGGGTCTTCAAATTTAATTAAAAGATAGCCTTCGCGCTTTTTTGTGCTAAACTGCCCAAAGCCTAAGCTATATTCTCCTGTTCTGTTTCTCCTTTTTCCTCTCCAACATGGTTATTCAGATAATTATCAGCTACCATTACCAAGAAAACATCATGATGGCAAGACGAAGAATGAGGGACTACATTTATGCTTTAATGCTGAGTTTAAAACTCATGGCTGTGTGTAACATATGTTCACCAGAAGGCATTTCACCTCCAAAACACCTTGAGCTGTTGTTCTTAGTTCAATACATATAAAGTAATGATTTCAGACCAAATTGTAGGGCAACTGGATCCTGTGAGCGAGATATAACCCCTTCTAAGGAACTAAAAACTTTGCAATGGCACTAATGAGTTTGGATGCAATATATATCATGGAATGATCTAAGAAAATAGAGAAGTCGTCAAAGTTATATAACAGTAGAAAAATATGGGAAATAGTAAACTTACATTAGCTTCTTCAGAATGCAAATTAAATTGAGGCTGGATAACATTGACCATGAAGTGCCGTGTTCCATCCTCAGAGTCACCAATTTCTCCATGAGTAACTGGATCATAAGTAACAAAGTATGGCACCATGAAATTCAATTGTATCAGAAAAGCTTGAGCATGAAAATCTTTCCAAGAAGAATGAATAAAATTCTCCATATATTAAATGCCTAAAAATACCAGACAATCTCTGGAAAATCTCACCAGCTACATTAGTTGAGCCTTCATATTTTCCAGTTGAAGAAATAGAAGGGTGTGTTCCCAAAGGCTCAATATGTTGCGGGGAAGTGGGACTAACACCATGAACTGTAGAAGTAGATGGCTTAACAGCATCATGATGATGCATTTCACCCCCCTCAGAAATTTGTCTTTCCTCTAATAATTTTCTCTGTGCATACTGCCGTGAAGGAGAAGGCTTTGAGGGCTCAAATGCTTTAGATATTGCACCAACCCATGACCAAACAGCATCCCTGTTTTCAATAGTCCATAAAAGCTTAAGGCCATAAACAAAAACTCGCTGGCAATTGTCAGCAAGTACCACATTAAAGCCGTCATCATCATCACTAAGATCAGATCGCGCATGATCACTCTCGCTCCCAATTTCTAACTCAGATTTCACATAGGTCATCTCGACATTCTTCCTACCAGCTTCTCGCCAAGCCAAAATTTTCGCACCATCAGCCTTGGGAGATTGTCTCCGTATAGTGAAATACTCTGAATCCAATAGAAAACCATCATCTCGGCATTTCTCAGTGCAACCACTTATATAGCTGGTTTTTTCATTATTTAATTTATCTGCAGCCTGCAAGCTTTTTGTTATTTGAAGATCTTGAACCACAGAAGTTGCATCGTTTCTGTTCAAGTATGCCTTCATCAGATTAAGATCCACACCTTGGTAAACAAGATCAAGAGGATCACGCTTACTTTCAAAAGTAAACTTCTGCTTTCCACGACTATAACAGAGTTCCACTTTCAGCTTTGTCATTTTAAATGTCAGACCACTAGCTGGATCATCATCTCCTAAAGGTATGTGGTTAATGCACGTTGGTGTAGCTTCAAGGCAGAGGAAAAACTCAGTCATAACTTTATCCAATGATAAGTTACCAGATCTGGCAGCTCTAGGAACTCCGAACCTGGGCCATCGTGAGAAAGATCGAAGCTTATGAGGAGGAAGATAAAACAAATTCCACCACTTAAATATCCAAACAAGGTCATGTGCTCCCAAGTTCACTGTTGGGGAGTTTGATGACGCATTGGCCAACTTATGTGAAGACTCATACATGGATCCATCTAACAGTTCACTGTTTCCTGTACCAGTAGACAAGAGAGGTTCATCTTTCATGGGCAAAGAGGGCCTTAAAGAAAAATTCCACTTAAGTGAGAGAGAGCTTGATCGAAAAGGATCAAAGATTTTCTCCCGAATTTTCCCTTCTCGAGGAAGCGCATGCAAGTAATGATTAAGAGGGAAACCTGAGTCGCATTCCCAATCCATAGTAACATCAATAGACAATGCAGGACAATAGAGAAAAGGTCCAGAATTACTGCATGGGATCTTTAAACTACAATTTTTTACCAGACTTTCCAGACTACTTAAATAAGCATTGAATTCCTTCGTAGAAAGAGATACACGTCCATCTGACTGCAGGATTTCCATGTAACCTGTAAAAATCTGAAGTTTATCTAACTTCTCATAAGGGTTAGTTGTTCCAAGTAGAGTCCATTTAGTCTCTGTGAAATGCAAACCCAGTTTCCCATGGATGTAGTACCTCATATCGTCCCACCATGGCAAGCTACGTTCTTTCTTAGGCGGTTGATTTGCCATTGGATTGTTACCTCTTTTACCAAGAATAGCCCTACGCAATGCTACTGTAAATGCGTAGCTTATATCTGCAAAGACGGGTTCATAGCCCACTCCATAGGATATTTCCGCTTTATGGAAATATAATGGCAAGTCCATATATGTTTTCATTGCTGGACTTGTACCACTTGCTGAACGTAACATGCGAACTTTCCACCATCTTCCAATGAAAACATCTTGCTGAATTTGAGGCTGGAAGAAAGTAGCCTGTAACAAAGAGAAATCTTATTCAAATACAAATAGAATATGACGACAAAGCATAAGCTAGTGAAGTGTTACATTTTGTGCATTGGACACTCGGGCATCTAGGAATACCCACATCCTTCAAAAGGCAACCATACCGTCTCTAACAAAACTTTGTTCCTATATGAGAGGATCTTAAAAGAATTCACATAATCTAGAAGCATTGTTTTAAATATCCACGATATGGCCCGATATATCCTTCTACAGGACTTGTCGCAACCGATATGGTCTCCAAATATCATTTACTACTTTTTTTTGCTATTTTGGGCGATATATCTCCGATATGGTCGATATACCAACTCATATGTTGACCGATGTATCCTTTTATATGACTTGTTGCAAAATAATATACCTTGTTCGGCAATTTTTGGCTGAGATATCATGATTTTTCCATTATATCAAATGACATTTTAGCCAAAAAAAACCAGACAAAAATGGTGTAACGTTGATTTATACTTTTGTTCGTTTTATAAGGTTGATTAGTGATCCTAAACATATATTATTTACATTTTATATGCTTAGATTTCATTAAGAATGTTGAGATTACATTTTAGTGCATTATAATATATATGCAAATATTCGTTATAGCATTCTGATATTTACTACATACCCCAATATTTCCCGATATCCACAACCCAATATGAATTATGAACATCCGACATTTCTCCGATATCTGATATTTAAAACATTGTCTAGAAGAAAGAGGTTTGACATGCCATAAAGGCACATCACTGGAGAAATATCTCGTATCTTGAAGTCTCAATACCCAGATGGTTTCATATGATCATTGCAAGAAAGACATACCAGATTCAAATAAAAAAGGACAACCTAAATCCAAATTCTTGGGAATGCAACAATAGTACGATAACATATAAAAAATATAGAAAGCAATAAGAAAAAAGAACAAAAGAATCACTATGCCCGCAAAGCCAGTTGGTTCCTTACAGGTCAACAAGATAATTCATAAAGATCTCCCTATGATCTGGTAGTAGGGATGTGCAGATTTCGGTATCCACCAACCCAATTTTGGACACTTCGCTTCCGTTTTAGTAGACACCACGGTCTGGGTCGGGTTCTAATATTCCAAAACGGTATCCACCAACCCGACCGATATAAGAAATACTCACTCCTAACGCACCCAGCAAACCTCTCTCCACTATACATGGGGCCCACACAGTGAACCCATGGGATTGAGTTTTGAGTTCTTTTTTCAATGCTAGCTCTCTCTCATCACAACAGAGGGAAAGCATCAGATTTCTGTCCTTTTATTTACGATGATGGCACTTGCCTTCGTGGTTGCTCGCCTGTTGCTGCTTAAGACTGAGGCTAGCAACAACCAAATGACCAAATTTAACAAACCAAAATAATTTGGTTCGATTTCGTTCAGTTTTATTTTTATATCAGTTCAGTTCGGGTTCATAAAAATGTTTAAAACTAGCTGAACCGACCATTTGCTCACCCATATCTGGGAGGGTTGATACGCAAAATCAACAATGCAACCCTTTAACATCAAAGCTTCAAATGCCAACTCAAATCATGTATAAAGAGTCAGACAAAAAGTAGAAGCAGAAGCAGAAAATAGTTGAAGATGAAGATTATAGAGATGTTAGAAAGATGGGGAAGAAAGAAAAAAGATACCTCTAAATATGCAAAGAAAACCTTAGAGAAACCTAGGGTAAAAACAAAATCCTAGAGACATTAAGATTTACTCTAGTATTTGCTAAACAATATGCGAGTTAGAGATCATCTTCTACCTATTGTAATCATCAACATATGTTACTTAACAAGTAAAATCCTGATATGTGCTTTTTCCTCTCACAAAAGGACAATTGAACACTCTTTTGCATCAACTATCTAGCAGATTAGAATCATCAAATCTCTTATCTAATTAATGAAGAATCTCGTATTGCAGAATATAGAGTTTAGACCATTAAAAAATAATGATATTAGTCACAAAGTAGAAGATCAGATTATTACATTGTTCACTAATTTTGTTGGATAATATTTAGGGCCGCACGATATGAGGAAAAAATGGGGCTAGTGTGATCTATTTAATGCAGCACGATATGGAACAAAAAAGGAGGCTGGTGCTATCTATTTAATGCAACATGATATGAAAAAGGGCACCAACCCCCTTTGTTCGTGTCATGATGTGTCAAATATCTATTGGCTCTATTCAATAATAACTAATGTGGTTTAATATTTTTGCGAAAAAATCGTCAAACAAGGTAATTATGCTTAAAAGTGACCGTAAATTTAAACTAGAAAGCAACACATTCTCTTTTCATCTTTTGTAAACACTACCCCTTCACCCAAAAGAAAAAAAAAGTTCATCTTATTCCTCCTCTACATCTTGCAACGAAGCCAAACACAAAAGATGAAAAAACCCAATCACGCTCATCCTTTCTCTCTGAGAAAGAAGTGAACAACTATCTTCTTCCTTCTCTACTGTATTGCCTCTATTAAATATTCAAATGTTTAGCTTTAATGGTTTTTCCCATTTCCAAATAGAATCCATTCGGGCGGTATGCGGCTTAATGATGGGACCGTGGACGCCAATATATGGACAATGGGGCCGATAATCACACTGCATTTGAGGATAATGATACTGATAAAATTTGAAGGAAAGAATATCAATTTTATGCATTTTTGTATTGTATTTAGTTTGTTTCGTAAAGGTTGTTAGCAACCTCAAAATACATGCTTGTCCCTAAATAGCAAGTTGATTTTTTTATTTGATGTCTTTAAAAGTTGAAGATTTGTCATTGAATTGGTCGAATTGATTGAAGAATGAGCTTGTTTTAGGTCCTAATTTTGCTAATGAAATCTAATTAGTTTAGAGACCTTATGTAGTTTGCCATATGTTCTTTATATCGTAATTTAAGAGTTTCTAAACTAAATTCATTTGAAATGGAGATTGGAATTGGTCGGGAACGTGAATGAACTAAAGAAGACGGTGCAAATAGGCAATGATAATAATTTTTAAATGTTTTATAGAATCAAATTAGGGTTGTGTAGAAGCAAAATCATCATATAAGATGACAATTCACTGCTATTATGATTTTATTAATCATGTCAAAATTCAAATTTGACAATCAACATACATGAAAACAGTAGCTAGTCTTCTTGAACTCAGAGTCACCATCTTCTGTTTCTGTTGACATGTCGACATGTCGTGCTGACATGTCGAGGAGAAACCAAGAAATGATAGAGAAAGGTTTAATTAATATAGCTGAGAAAATTATGTTAAACAAAACACTTAATCCAAAATATTATAATCAATCTTGATTGTATCAGTTTTTGTATCAGAGTTTGTTCTTGTGACTTAGTATAAGATAAAACCATATCATTGACATTTTCTAGACTGTTTCAGGCATATGAATAATGTTAGACCTCAAAAGTAATATGAAAAACTAATTGAAAAGTAGTATGTTATCATGCAAGATTTATTATATGTACAACAACTAACTTGATGCATCCAAGCTTATAGACATTTGATTATGAATATTTAACCAAATACATCAGATCATTGTCTTTTTCTTGCAGGGCATAAGGGCAATCAGCTAGATATCATGATTAACTACCATTAGATAAGCTTGATCCAAAAATAATTGAAAAGCCGCCATGCCCGAAAAGAACTTATAAGGAGCATCGTCCTGAGGAAAGTCTTCAAGTGGTGGAAGGATGAACAAGGAGCAAGGATGAAGATGGAAGATGAGCAAGATTTTTTTTTAATCCCTTCTGTTATGGAATCGAGGAGCAAGGATGAGCAGGATTAATTTTTTTTTCAATATTTCAGTTTGGGTTCATTGCAAGATGCATATGAGAACGAAGCTAGAATTTTCCTTTGGGTGAGGAAGACAATGCTAGTGAAAGAGGAAGAAGAGGGTGACTTTTGAGATTAGTTTTTTTTCTCTTTTTTTGTGGGCGTGCGGTGGGGTGGGGGGGGGTGGGTTGGTTGTAACACACTAAAAGCCTCTCCATGAACTTGACAAATAGATTTTTATCACATCATAAAACACCAGCTCCTTTTTTCCCCACCGCACAAAATAGATTCTTATAGTTTAACATAATGACTATTAAGAAATAATATCATTTTCATGACACAAAATGCAAGCATTCTACCAGAAATGTTTATGAAAAAATACATGACTTCAGAAGTGTCATTTGAAAACACTCTGAAGCTCATAAAACGTCAAAAGATAGCAAAGGCTTAAGACACCATATAAACTTGAATTAGACATAAATGAACTATAACTTAACAAAAAAATTAGAGTTCAACATCCTTAATTGATGGACAAATATTGGTTATTTCATATTACAGATCTTATTCGAACTTCGCCCTTATGCGTCTACTTGACATACACACGTGGTTTTGTGGGTGTGGTCATAGCAACATGATTTCTCAACTTGCATACTTCATTCAAGCGCAGCAAGCAATGTTGTGTTTTGTTACAACCAATGTTTTAAAAATAGGCCGATTTTATCGATTTATCCTCATATATAGTGTTTGGGCTATGACCAATACGATTTTTGCAAAAATATATCGCATATAGTTTTGAGCGCGATTTTTCGCTAATATATTCGTGTAACTCTGATAAGCGGCCGATTTCTCGTTGGCTAAAATCACGCCGATTTTTACATTGACATTCTAAGTGAACTGGTTGGGTTTGGAGACAAAACCTCTTTTTTCCATATTCACGAGCGATAACGCTAAACAAAAACAATACAATTCTAATTCTATTTCGCTTCCACTAAACAAAACACTTGGAAGTGTGCCTAAACAAGTGTTATTTATATATTAGTATGTTTTATGTTTCATTATAATGTGCTGAGATTACTATCATATTATATACGTTAGCATCCAATATACATCGCGATTTTACTACTTTTCCCAGATATATCCTGATAACTGGGATCCGATATGAATTTGACATATCCGATATATTTCAATAACGATGTTTAAAACGTTGGTTACAACTGTTTTATTTATCAACTATATAACAGTTACGAGCATAGGGGATTATATCATGGTTATTCAATTAAGGTCGTATTAACAGATTGATGTAGGGCATTAACGAAAGATATTAAAATTTCTTATACTCGTCTAATTTACTTAGAAGAACTGAGTTACGCAAAGCTTTTTCTATTTTTTTCTTTATAATGTCTACTGACCTCATATTTTCTTGCCATTTCATAAAATTGTTTCATTATTCCCTCAAAGTCAGTTTTAGGTGTATCTCCTTTAAGAAATCAATGCATGTGAGTGCAGTCGCTGCACTTATTCCAGACTTTCAATGCAGTAAGGAAAATTAGACACTTATACATGAGAAAAGTAATCTGCCCATCAAACGCTGGAATTCTATGCCATAAGATGCTGGAATTTGTATGCCCATCAAGACGCTGGCTTTGTATGTCAAGAGTCAGTAACTACATATGTGAAAAAAATGCCATGAAGTTGTCCAGATATAAATGCGTTGCCATGTGGCATGGACAACAGAATCATCACACTTTGACTTTCATAAAACATGGTTAGAGATGGATCAGCTAATTAAGTTCATATATTTGGTTCAGGTGGCTTTGTTTCTCTTTTGCTGTCTCCGCTTTACGTGTGTAGTTTTTTTTGTTGTCGGGGGTTTGGAGGGTTGAGACGTAAACAAATTGGGCAGGTTTTAGGTAGTGCAAGAAGTCATTTGAAAAACTATGAATTTGGGTAACCAAGTTTATGATAGGAAAGTTATATGACGCATTTCAACTGAAAGACGAATGAGATCGTGATTTTT